AAAGGTGGAAACTGAGGTCATTGACTTGAGACCATTCTTCTTTTCTAATATGTTTATTGCTATAAACTTCCCCTTGGCTGCTGATTTAGAAGAACCCTGCCGATTCTGTTATATTTTAATTTTCATTCAGTTCAAACTGATATCTGTTGATTTGTCTTACTTACTGAGAACGACTTTATTTTCATCATAGTCTTTCATAGTACTGTATTAATTTATCTTAATTTGTATATAAATAGTGTTTCCCACCCCCACCCCCCAAATTGAAGCTCTATGTGTTTTGCTCACTGCTTTATTCCCATCACGCAAAACAGTGTCTTGTTGACAGTCAGAACTTGTGTGCAGAGAGTTATGGAAGCATACAGCTGAGGGGTTTGTCGTCTGCTGCTCAGGCAAAGCCTGTCAGGAAGTGATGCTTTAGCTGTGATGGGAGAAGGGCTGGTAAAGCACTGTTGGTGGCGGTGGTGGTAGTTTTCTGGATAAAGGGAATACATGTTCAGAGGCGCTGCATTTTGAGACATGGAATTTTCTCAAGGAGCTAAAACAGGTGAAGACTAGGGAGTGCTGGGTGGGAGGCTGTCAGGTGAGGAGGCTCTATGAGAGAGATAGGAGCCAGATCACAGGTGACTCCAGCCACGTCGAAAACTTCAGATTTCAGCCCAAGGGGGAAATATAGAGAGAAGTTTTAAGCAAGGGAGTGACTCGCTTAGAGTTGCAGTTTTTAAAAGATCCCTGCTGTGTGAAGAATTGGTTGCATTTTGGTAAGTATAGAAGTGGGAAGACACGCCGAAGGCTACTGCAGTCATCTAGGTGATGCTGGTGGTAGTGATGAAGGTGGTGGTGCTGTTGCAGAAGCGTGGACGAGTGAGGGAAATACTCAAGAGGTAGAACTGACAGGACTTGCTGATGGACTGTTTGTGTGTGGGGGTGGTGAGGGGTGGGAGTGAGGGACAAGCAGCACATGCTAGGTTTCTGAGAGAAGATGAGTGGAGGGATAGTTTGTGGGGTAGGCAGTGATGAAGTTCACTTTTAGATATGTTCATTGTCTTTCTCCACCCACTGGAATATAAGCACTATGAGGTCAGGGACTCTTGTGTGTCCTACTCAGTTTGTATCACTTTGCCTGGAGCATTTCCTGGCACATAGTGGGTGCTCCGATATACACTGAATGGATGAAGAAGAGAAAGGAACTAATGAATGGAATATGCTCACTGAAGAGGTGGGAGCCAGTTGAATCCAGAGAATAAGAAGAGAGATTGCTTTTCCATTAAGACAGGAGGGAAGGAAGGAGTCATGGATTGGTGGAGGATATGGAAAACATAATTGGGATGGCATGAAGTTGAGAGGATTTGCACCTGATGACATTTATATCCCAGGAGAAGTGGGAAACAAAACATCTGCCTAGGGAGTAAAAGGTGGAGGGGAGACTGTGGGGTGGGGGTAGGGCAGGAGATCTGAGGTGAGGGCTGGAAGTTTGAAAATGGTAGCTGTGGAAAATGAGGGCGAGATCTGGTTGGGAGAGCAGTAGAGCTTTAGCCAGTTCTGGAGATCTAGGTGGGCTTGCCAACAAAATGAGTGGTGTGCTCCTGCAGCCAGAGTTCAGGAGACGCAGTGGCTGGTTGGGTTGACCTTGGGAGGATGTCCAGCTTGGGAGGACTGAAAAGACCATGGCTAAAGAGCTTCTTTTACTGGCAGAGAAGAATGATTAAAGTGATGGATGTGGTCTTCTTGTTGGAAGTGAAGAAAGTGAAGAGAGAAGGAGACAAATGATGCTGGATGACACTCATCAAGGACTTATTATACGCCAGGCACTCTGCTTCTCTCATTTAATTACCACAACAGTCATTTCAGGCAAGTGTACTTATCTTACATGTGTGGAAAATAAGGCTCAGAAAATTAAGTTACATGTCTGGTCAGTTGCAGAGCTGGGATTCACAGGGCCTACAGAGTCTGAGCAATTCATCATCCCCTGAAAGCAGAAGGCTACCTGGGGCCTGGGGATCTTGATGCCAGAGAAGGAGCCAGTGAGAGCAGGGGAAGGAGAGTTGGCTAAGGTCAGAGTGGAGTCCAGTCATGGCCCGTGAACATCGGGGTGCTTGCAATGCATCAGTGAGCTAAGTAGATACTCTCCTTGGATCTGATATTGAAACGGGAGACACAGTTAATCATAGCTACATCAAGTAAACTTCATAGTATATTAGAATAAGTTAGCAAAGTACTATGAAAAATACACAGAACAGCAGGGTAAGGGAGCTAGGAGTGCTGGGCAGGGGCGAGGAGGGTGGGTGGCAGCTTACAAGTTTAAACAGGTGCCACACTTTGAAAAGTTAGGGCACTTTGAAAAGATGCATTCGCACAAAGGAAGTGAGGAGTTAACTGTGCAGATATCTGGAGACTGTTCCGGGTCAAGAAATAGCAAATGCAAAGGCCCTGAGGTGAGCGTGTGCCTGATTTGTTTGAGGAGCAACAGGGAGGCCAACGTGGCTGAAGCACAAGTGCAAGGTGGAGACGCAGAGGGTTGACTGGGGGCCAGAGGATGTTGTTGTTGTTGTTGCTAAGTGCCGTCGAGTCGTTTCTGACTCATAGCGACCCCGTGCACAGCGGAACGAAACACTGCCCGATCCCGCGCCAGCCCCACAATCCCTGCTATAGAGGATGTAGGGGCTTGCAAACTAAGAACTTTGGCTTTTACCCTGGAAGATGAAGACAATGGCAAGGTTTTGAGCAGAGGACTGACAAGATCTGACTTACATTTTAACAGGAGCACCCTGATTGCTGTGTTGAGAGTAGATCAGAGGGGGCAAGGGGAGGAGCAGGGTGCCTGGTTGGGAGGGTATTGAAATTATCCAAGTAAGGGATGCTGGGGGCTTGGACCAGGGTTTAAAATGTATTCTAGGTACCTGACATACGACGATAATCAAGAGAGTTGCTGAGATGATGCATGTAATTTAAAACTTGTGTTGAGACGTTGAAACAGAGTTGTCCTGTAGTCAATTGGATATCCCAACCCAACTGCCACCAAGTTGATTCTGACTCACGGTGACCTTACAGGGCTGAGTAGAAGTTCCCCATAGGGTTTCCAAGGCTGTAAGTCTTTAAGGAAGCAGACTGCCCCATCTTCCTCTTGTGGAACAGCTGGTGGGTTCAAATTGCCACCCTTTTGGTTAGCAGCTGAGTGCTTGAACCAGAATGCCACCCAAGAACCCAAAAGACCAAACCCACTGCCATCGAGTC